ATGCTTTGTTCTTGTGTCTTTGATTTTAAGGGTTTGGGATGACTATTTGCCACTTGTAGAGTTTGCATATAACAATAGTTTTCAAAAGACTATTGGTATGGCACCGTTTAAGGCTTTATATGGTTGACCTTGTAGATCTCTTGTTTGTTGGATGGAGGTTGGTGAGAGCAAATTTTTGGGTCCTGAGTCCATTAAGGATACTTCTGAAAAGATTACTCTTATTAAGGATCGTATACGCATTGTCCAGAGTAAGCAAAAGAGTTATGCAGACTGTCGTATTCGTGCTTTGGAATTTCAGGTAGGCGATCAAGTTTTACTTAAGGTGTCTCCTATGAAAGGAGTAATGCGCTTTGGGAAGAAAGGGAAGTTGTCACCACGTTTTATCAATCCTTTTATGATTACAAATCGAATTGGAGCGGTGGCTTATCATTTAGCACTTCCAAACCATTTAGATCGTGTTCATAATGTGTTCCATGTTTCCATGTCGAGGAAATTTCTTCGCGATGAAGATCATTATCAGCACATTGATGTTGGTGAGATTGAGTTGTAACCGGATGCAACCTATGTGGAACCACCGTGTCGTATTGTTGACCATAGGGATCAGATTCTTCGTAATAAGGTCATTCCTTTGGTACGTGTCCAGTGGAGTCATCACAATAAGGCTGAATCTACTTGGGAACGGGAGGACATTATTCGCTCAACCTTTCTAGACCTAATGGATGAAGGGAGGACGAAATTCATTTTGTTAGGGAGGAATAATGTAATACCCCTAATTTTAAAAGGATAGTCTCGGTATTTTTATTAATTGTTTAATTATGTTTTTGATTCTTTAATTAATTTCTTAGCTATTTATTAATTGTTTATATGATTTAATTGATTATATGTTTATTTGAAATACATGTTTAATGATGTGTATTTGTTTACTTAAATGTTAGGTGTTGGTTTAAAAATAATGTTTAGGAATTATATGTTTTAAATGGTTGTTTATTTTATTTTATTTCATTTTATTTTAAAGGTTTTGGATAGTAGTCATGGGCCAACCAATTGGGTTCCATGGACTACTTGGATAAGGGGTTTAATGAGTACAGATAATTACACATGGATAGTGTATATGTATGTATATATATATAATTAAATAATACATATATATTTAAGAAAAGTTCTTTGGAGATAATCTAGTGTATTTATTTTATTTAGATAAAAATAATATACATAGATTATACGTAACTTATTTTTTTTAGTTACCTTTTTTATTTTTTTTATTTTTATTTTTCTTTATTAATTGGATGTGCATTGGGAAAAGGAATAGGATTAATATGTAACCTATAAATATATAACTATAGGGTTGGAAAAAGGGGCTAGAAATATATCACGTATATTTTAGAGAGAGAGGGGGGGAGTAAGGAGGAAGAGGAAAAAGAAGAAGAAGGCTAGGGTTTTATCAAATCCTAAAGGCAAGTTCTTTGTTCTACACTTCTCTCTTAGATCTGTAATTTATATATCTCTAGTATAACTTTAGGGATGTTTAAAGGATAATTAAAATTGGAATCCATGTTTTAATTAATCTAGAACTAGGTTTTATAAATTATTTTGTTCATGGTTGTTCTTGTGTATAAATTGATAAATTTATGATTTGATTGGATTACTTTATGTTTTGTTACATATGATACATAATGTATTCTTATATCTGTATATTGATGGAACGTAGAAACATGCCTAGGATTCTTGAAACAAATAAAGAATGAATGCACAGTGAAGTTCTGGGTTGATTCGCATAATAGTGCTCGGACCGCTGTTACAGTGCTCGAGCCATGGGGGCAAAGCTCGAGCCTTGGATGAAAAGCTCCACCTTGTAAGGAAAAGCTTGAGCAATTGGTTGTAAAACTCGAGCCTGAGAAGGAAAGCTCGAGCAATTGGGTGAAAAGCTCGAGCCTGAAGTAGGATGCTCGAGCAATTGGGACAAAAGCTCGAGCCTTACCTGATAAAGTTTCGAAAACAGCATTGTATTACTGGTTATTGAAATTGAGGAGTCCTAAACATCAAATATGGACTACGAATGAGATTAAATAAATGTTAAACAAACTTAAATTTATTAACACATGCTATTTAATTCTTTGAGGAATGAATGGACTTAATCTTTAATTGGTTTTAACAATTAATATTAAATGTATAGCATGAATGGTATATGGAGAATGCTTAAGTGATTGTGTAGCAAAATATCAATCTATTTAAGATTCAGTATGTGTAGGATGTGTGATGTAGAAAGTTTAAATAAATTATAAGTTGTTCCTATTTTGTGATAGCATGATATAATATTATTATGTTTAACTCTGGATTATTTGATGTACTTCTGAAATTGTTACATCAACTGTTGGATTGTGTGGATTTAGTGCACCAGTATGGGATGGTGGCACTCTAGGGATGGATTAACTTATCAGTTAAGTCCTACCTATTTTATAAGGGAACGGATTAACTAAAATGTTAAGTCCTACTTATATTTGTGTCAGGTTAACTGAACCAGTTGGATGATACATAGTGGATTAATTTAGATTGGATATATATATATATTGATATATGCCATGATATGAGCTTGAGTCTCAGGATCATGGTTAGGGTGCGTCTATTGCTAGGGATGTGTAGCTAAATATAGTGTAGTTGTTTCCCTGGTAGGTCTAGGTACTCATGCCCACTATACGTGCGTTTTACATGTTGCCTACTTTTCAGGTTGAAACAACCTTATAGTCTAGTGAGGTTCCTTTAGTATGTATCTATATATATATATGCAGACTACTTAGCTATTGCATGGGTTAGCTATAGATATATAGTTTATCTAGTCTTGGTTTAGGTTGTCGTAGAAAGAACTTGTTCGTAGGCTTGACCCACTATTATTATTTTTCAGGTGTTCATCAATTTCAAACATAGGGCTTGTTCGTACCGAGTAGAGATAGTCCACATCACTCTTCCAATTCTACATAGGATTTTCTTTATGCTTTAGTGTTGGGATTATTATTCTTTTCAGTTGTTTCAGTTGGGATTATCATTAAGGGTCTACTAGATGGATTCCCGAGTTGTAATGATATTAAAGGTTTTGGATAATCCATTTGGAGGATTTATTATTTAGTTTTCTTTTCTACTATTTTATTTATTCTTAGTTATTTCTTTTGTATTATGTGTTCATTTACATACTTAATTGTTTGGTATCCCTCGGATCTATGCTCGGACTTGATCACCCGTGGCTCTAGAATCATAGGGTATCACAGTGATGGTGCTCGATCCTTGAGGTCTGGCCCGAAACCCTGGGAGCTTGGTTCTTCCATTAAATCAACTCTTCAAATTCTGACGCTTTATGCTCAAGCTTGAGGGCCAAGGCTCGAGCACCTTGAAGTAAGGCTCGAGCACCCTCTGTTTGGGCTCGAGCTCTGAAGGTACAAGGCTCAAGCTTTAATGCCTTATTGACTTTTTTTCTTCTTTTCTTGAAAGGCACAAGCCTCAGGACTTGGGCTCAAGCTCTGGTTCTTGAATTCTTCTAAACTTCATCATTTAAGCTCTCTACTTGCTTTGGATGACCGGCAACGACTTTGTAAGCTTCGATATCATCATAAAGTCCTAGTTTTAACCATTTCTCTGGAAAAGTACCTATAAACATACATTAAACAAAAATAAGTCTAACTATGGATAGAAGTATCACTTTAGGCCTTAACATACGTATATTTAGGGGCTCGAATATACAATATTCAGTGCTCATTAATATGTATGTATATATATATATATATATATATATATATATATATATATATATATATATATATATTATATGCTTTATGAGTTCCAACTGCCATGAAAAAAATTTGATGTTGTAGTTGTGGAAATAAATGCTTAATAATTTTCAAATATGTGAATATGATGTTTGTGGAATGTATGAAATTTTTATTGTTGTGTTGGCATTTGGAAGCATGAGACATTCGTACATTCATTGGGAATGAAAAAAGGAAAAAGTGGTTTTGAACGGAAAAATGAAAGTTTATTTTAAGGAACAAGTTTTCGAAAAATATTTGCGAAAAAACTCAGGCACCTAGGAGTTATCTAGTGGTCCGTGGCGTTAGTGTGGTTTAGAGGGGATTAGAGAGAGACCCTAGCGTGGTTGAGCTACCTAGACCCTTTAACGACGCCGAGTTGCCTTGTGGTCAAGGATAGTTAGCCGATCCTGCTCTCGTGACACCATGGAGTTGCCATGGATTGGATTGCACTGACGGTTTGGAACGATAAAACGGTATTGTTTCTGACACAGGGAGCGACATTGGATGACATTTCATTTCATTGGCATACGTTGTATATTTGGGTGGTCGGATGACTCATATACATTCTCGTTGTTGTTATTGTTGCTTTGTTTATTTCCCAAGGCATGATCCCGTTCACTTGCACTCTCTTCTTTATGTGGATTCACGAAGTCATTAAGAGGTATGTCTTAGACACCTCTTACTGAGCGGCTAGCTCATCCCATCATATTATTACATTTTTCAAGTTACGGGAAGGAAGTGGCAGATAACGCTCCTCCACAAGTTTGAATGGGTTAGTGGACTGTTTTGACATCTTTTGTATTTGTAATCTCTCTCTCTGTCTCTTTTTAAGCCTTAGGATGACACGTATATCGTGTATCGACGTTAGAATTAACCATGGTGCCCTTAGACGATTTTGAGTTCGGGTAAGGACCCGGTTAGCGATTCGGACCCTCGAGTTCGGGTCGTTACATAACAATCAAGGGACAATTTGCTACCAATTTCAAAATAAAGGAATTTATATGCACTTTATAAAAAAAAAAAAAAAAAATGAGGGTGTGTTTCTTGCATATTTTTATATAGCATGAAATTTTTTTTTTTGTTTTTTTTGGTGCTGTATCGTTTAAAATTTAAAATCGGAGGGTATTGTTGTAATTAAACGTTGGGACAGGACCTTATACAACTCCGTGTGTATAGATATATATATATATATATAGTACATAGGTCTTGTACATGAAGAGAAGAGTCCCGAGGTTTAGCACAACACAAACGGCTTTTTCTTTGCTCGGCTTTGGAGGAAAGGGTTTAACGGAGGAAGAAGAAAGAAGAAAATGGTGAGATTAACGGCGGATTTGATTTGGAAAAGCCCTCATTTTTTCAATGCACTTCGAGAGCGTGAATTAGATCTTCGAGGTCAGCCCCTTTTCCTTAACCCTCAAATTTTCACACACACATATGTATGTATATATATATATACACATAGACGCATATATGTATAAACACAAACAATTTGGAATTGGAATCCCAGGATTTCAGAAACTGTTCCGTTGAGAAGTATTCGAGCTATAGTTAAATTTTGTTTCGACTTAGACCTATTTTCACTGAAGTTTGTTTACGTTTGTGTGTGTGTGTTTTATTTATTTATTTCTCTTGTTTATATGTTGTTTTTTTTTATTATTTATTTATAAAGGGAACAAGATTGCCGTTATTGAGAACTTGGGTGCAACTGAGGTGAGTTTGGTTTCTGTTTGGATTTTTGGTTATCAGGATACTTGTTTTTCTGCTATAAGAGCTGAAGTAGACGGCTTCTCAGCAATTGAACTGTCAATAATTTGTTTTGTTAGTTAGTGAACATGGTTTATTTAACTTGCATTGGTTCCTATACAGGACCAATTTGACACCATTGATTTGTCTGACAATGAGATAGTCAAGCTTGAAAACTTTCCTCACCTGAATCGGCTTGGCACTTTGTTGATCAACAACAACAGAATTACCCGTATCAATCCGAACATTGGAGGTGCAATCATAGATTTTTTAAAACTCCCTTTGTTTTAATTTTCCCTATACATGCGAGTTTCTAATGTCTGGTTAATGGGTTTGTTTAACTTGTGTTTTTTTGTTTGAAATTTGAATTAGCAGAGTTCTTGCCAAAACTGCATTCCTTGGTTCTTACTAACAATCGACTTGTTAACTTGGTGGAGATTGATCCTCTTGCATCACTCCCGAAGCTCCAGTTCCTCAGTCTGCTTGATAACAATATTACTAAGAAACCAAATTATCGCTTGTATGTCATTCACAAACTGAAGGCTTTGCGCTTGCTTGACTTCAAGAAAGTGAAGCAAAAGGTGTGTCTGTTGTTATCATTTACGTGGTGATTTCACTTGCTTTCTTAAGTATACTGAAACCCACTTCTAGCACAAAGGCCGTGTTAGTTATACGACATGATCACCAGTATTTAAGTTCCTTTTGTTAAGTTTCAGTATTGAGAATTGCATGTCCATTGATTCTTTTCAATAGCATTGGAGCTTGCAGGAACCTAACCCAGAAGTGTGTAGTGGCAGAATTCTCCAAATAATATAAATATGTGCTTGTGTGGTTGCATTGTGTTGTCATTTGTCCATCTTGTGTGTATGATATAATATGTTAATTACATTTGATATTGGCAATAACTATTCTAACTATTGCTTTCTTCAGCATGTTGAGGCTCAAATTGAGCACATACCTGTTAGGACATGACCTCCGTCCAATTGGATTTAGATTCCGGATTATAAATATTTCTTTTTTTTTTTTTTGGGGGGGGGGGGGGGGGGGGGGGGGTGCGGAGGCTGTGATAAGTAGGTTCAGAATTGGTATTTGGGGTCGTCCTAAATTGGAATCCAAATAGAATGCAGAATATTAACCCTTTAATAAAACCAACTGGTTTGGAGGAGGGTAACATTAGAGCACGAAGCAAGTGTAGGTGCAAAGGTGGGATCAGGAATGGCGATGGAAAAGTGTTTCTAGGTCTGGGAAGTATACAACTGTCTGACACCACACACGTGTGCACAAATCCCTGTGGGAGTGGGAGTCTTTTATGTGAATATTATAATTTTAGTTTAAAGAAGTGATTAAAATTTTACAGTACAATAGATGCTGATGAGAAGCTTTTGTACAAGTTTTATATGAGATCAGAATTATTAATTACAAGTAGTAGTAGCACAAAATTTCATTTTTGCAGTAAAATAAAGCATAATTTGATCATATCTTCTTGCTTTAAATTTGAAAGTTGCACAGGAAGAAAATTATCTTTTATTTTCATAAAGTGTCATATTGAAAATTTTGCAGTTGAGAATGTCATTCTTTGCCTTTCTTATTTCATAACTGGTTTCATCACTAAAACTATTTAAGTTTCTCATCGTATGAGTTAAACTTGTCACTCGTTAGGGGTAGGCCTGTCTTGATAGACTTGTGTGTTTATCACAAGTTAACAAGCTCTTCACTCTTAAGTAAGAAGGGCGAAATCAGTCTTCCAAAGTCATAATGACCTGTAATTGTAAAGACTCATTCAATGAAGACTTAACTACCAGTGGACAACATTGAACTGATCTTGGCCTCAATCATTGTACCATTGCCACCTTCACTACCAGTACCTTGGTAATTTCTGACCTGTATCATCACCTTCTCGTTGCAGCTATCATTACTGCTTCCAGTGCTGCAATAATGATACTATTACTTCTGCTGGACTGTAATAACACCCCTGCCATCAAACTACAATCATTGTGATTTTACCACTTAATGACACCACCACCACCACCACCACCATCACCGCTGCAACCACCCTACTACCTACACTGCCAGTACCTGCATTCTGCTTCCAACATCCCCAACATTCATTACATCTCTCCAAGATCTAGTTTTTGGCTGAACTCTTTCAAACCACTTGAATATAGTTGGTTACCCGTGGAATTAAAATACTTTTCCCATGAGGTGCCAAAATCACTTCTTGCTTCAAGCATTCAATTAAAGAGAATTCTAGTTATATAAGAAACAGCATGGTTTTATCAACAGTGCTTTCCTAAAGTTAGCTCATTAAATTTATTTGATGTGCATAAATACTAAACTACAAGCATTGATGTTCTTTTGTGTCCATTAATTTTAATCCATGGTGTTTGTGAGGTTGTTCCTTATGCATTTTGAATTCATTCAATCGTGTATTGTTATTCTTTAAGAGGAAATCCTTTAATGAAACACCCTGCCTGATCAAGGGATGAGTTAGCTATGTTTATGTAGACTCATAGACAAGTTTTAACAACATAACTAATCTTTGTGCATCCATCATTTTTATACATCCATCTTACTCTTTTATTCCATTCCTTTTTAATCTAAACATTAATTTTAGGTTCTCTTGTACAAAGTATTACTTGAACAAAATGTATTTTGTTATTTGCTTATTACTTGAACAAAATACCTTATTTTCTTGTTGCCTCCTATCCGACTATAGTTTGGTTTCAATTCCATGTTCTGGAGGATTGCAATTTCAACTTTCCAGTCATGTACTCTTTTGTCGTATTTAGCATTGTTGCCTTTATTGGGTTATTCTTAATGGTTGGGCTTCCAATTATTATGTTTTTGTTGATGACAGGAGCGAGCTGAGGCAGAAATTCTATTTGCATCAGAAGAAGCTGAAGAGGAGGCTAAAAAGACATCCGTTAAGACATTTGTACCTGGTGAGGTTGAAAGTACCCCGGAGGTTCCCAAGGAAGAGCAAACCCCTAAAATTGTTGCCCCTACACCAGAGCAAATTATAGCTATCAAGGTATAGTTCTTATCATATTTGTTTCTTTTTCTGTTTTTTACTCCATGTTTATTTCATATTTCAGCAACTTTCAGTTAGTCTTATAAAGGAATAATATGCTTTATCAGGACTGGAACAGTGAGATATATTTTCCATTTTTAAGTAGTCGGGTTATGGTCACTAACATTATTTCCCCTCAATCTTGTCATAATCACTGGGTGTATGCAACCTGAATCAGGTTTCACATTTCCACCTGATGTAACTGTGGCTGTATCTTCTACTAAACCACAAGATGTGCCTCACAAAATCAAGCCATGCCCATTTTTTCTTTCCCGTCATATAGAGCCTCATTTGCACCGTAGTTCTCTCTGGCTAACTGTTTTTGTACTGTTTGATTAACATTTAACCATGGGAATGCAGGCTGCCATTGTGAACTCCCAAACTCTTGAAGAGGTTGCAAGGCTTGAACAGGTGATCCCTTATAGTACCTAAGTTGGTATTGCAAATTATTTTATTTTTTAATTTATTTTTCTTCCCATTTTTGCCTTCTCTCTCTTGAACAGTGGACGGCTTTGTAGTACTTCTGTTTCTAGTTAGGTAGTTTATCTTTGTTGTTCAAGTTGTAGATATCTGATGATCCAAGTGTTGGTTCAAATTGTGATGTGTAGGCATTGAAGTCAGGCCAGCTTCCTGCTGATTTCAGTATTGAGAATGAAGCCATGACAACAAATGAAAGTGTGAAAGATGACAAAATGGTTACAGATGATCTTAATGAAGCGACTGATGAGCCTAAACATATCGAGCCTGAACAGAAGAATGATGATGCTACAGAAATGGAGCAGGTATTAATACTAAATATTAGCTATTCTCTCTAATCTAGTTTCATGGGTGCTTAAACTAGTCAACTTTGTCATTTTGTCCTGCTGTTTTGGCATTCTTGGTATTATAGTTAGAGCTTGCTATCACGGTTCCACACCCAAAAGACTAGTCGTGGGTTCTTTGCTCCCATTTAAGAAACCCAGGACCATCCACTACACACTTGATGTGGGACTCAAAACAGGTCTGTGACCAGAACAAACTTGCCCTACTTGCGCTCTCACATTGGGATCCACACCTTTTTGTGAGATTCACCAACCAATCTCCCAAGTCACATGGTAGTATCCCCAGGCCAGCTCGGCGGTTCTACACCCCAAAGGACTAGTAGCTTTGGGTTCCCTGCACCCATTCAATAAGTGTAAGACCACCCAATACACACCCCGATTCAGGATTCATGAAACATCTACGCGTCTGTGGCATTGTGCTTGGTAATGTACAAAATTACTTGAAGAGGTGATCTTTGAAAATGGTTTAATTGTAGAGGTGCAAAATCTTTTGAAAACACTATTATCAATAGCTAGAGTGGCAGCATGCTGCTGCAATGCTGGCAATGAGGAAGAATTCCTTGAGTAAATTGGATGAGTATCTGGTGTGGTTATGTGGAATTTGCCACCTAATATGATGTTTTCTCTTGCTACTCGCCACACCTAATTAGACATGTTGAGACAAATTTCACCTTTTTCATTAGTTTTATGATCATGTGCATCTTCCATGACATTAGTAGGTCATCCACGATGGGTGTTTCTTGTGCTTGTGATTCATAAATTGCTAGCATGTGCTACTGTTTATATGTTGTACATTGCTGCTTCCATGACAGTGCTGAAAGATGCATTGTTTGCATTTTGGGTGAGCTTTCATATGCAGGGCAACCCTCCCACTCATTATCCCCACACCAATTGATAGTCAGATCCAATACCTGATAGTGGTCGCACCCAAATTTTCACCGAGTGTTGTGCTAGTGTTCAGTAGTGATTTGTGTGCAGACAACCCCAGAGGCTGTATTAGGGGCTAAATAATGAGGTGAGCCATTATCAGGAGGGCAACCTTTCTGATATCCAGGTTAATCGGCATTCCCATCCCTTGAAAACTGTGCAAGTTACCTTACCTATGCCCTCCTGGCCTTCTCTACATCACATGTAGATCTAAAAATATAAAATTTATGCACTTTGACTGTCATGTGAAACGAGATTTTGCATTAATAGAGGTTTTGCTGCGTGTGTCTATGTGCTCAATGAACCATGACATCAAGTTAAATATTTATTGCTAAAATTATTTTGCTTCCCCCTCCCTTCTTACTCTCCAATTGTCAATAATGGTTGTATTTCCTTTTTGTTCTTCCCAACTTTCAGGAGTAGATTGGGTGATATATTGCTTAGCACGTTTTTGTCAGCGATCTCAGATGGTGGGTTGGTCATGTGGGAACCATCTTATGCTAAAACTGGGTAAGCTTAAGAGCTTTTCTTCTGTCTGAATAACTGTGGATTGAGTAATCTATTTATTGAAAGCCATTGTTGTCTGGCAAATGATTAAAAGTTAAAAGGTTGTAATAGAGTATACGCCAACATGATGTTCAACATTTACTTTTCTTTAGAAGAATCACTAATCTTGCGTCCTTTCTCGGTCGTAGATGCAGATGTAGTAGATATTGTATGGTAGATGGAATTATCATTGAAAATGAGAGCCATTCCCTTTTTAGTTTTGTTTGAGAATGCTGCACTTATTTCTGTTTGGTAACCAACGTTAGAAAGGAAATTTGCTTCAGCTTTTGTGCAATAACTGCAATGGACATTGCTCGTGAATAGTGAACCTGTCCACATTCAATATAGTGGTGTAAATCTCAATACAATCCATTCTCCTATTCAAGAAATTATTTGGATCTCTTCAACTTTCAACTACTTGTCTGAAGCTGTTGATATTATTCTCTATTGTGTTTGCCTAGTATGCAGTAAAAGTAACCTCTGTTAATTGGTAGGATTGCAAGTGAATTGGCAACATAGGTTTGGCGAGTTTGTGATGCATTTTATTTTATTTTTTCAAAATGTTAATATTTTTCTTGACTTTTATATTTTTTTTTATAATTCTTAATTCATCAATAATTAGGTATGAAAATTGTCCAAATTATTAAAATAAGTAAAAAGTGTAGGGTGGGTGTGGACTTATGCAAAGATGTGCAAATGAACCAAGCCAAATACAAGTTTACAAGCAGGCAAGCATTATTTGGGCTCGGTTTATTCGACTCCAACAAGTTAAAACTTGAATTTCCTATGATTCTTCTTTTGAATGGACTCTTACATGAACGGACTCAATTTATTTCCATTCACTACCAAAAATTGTAGCCTACTGGCATTTCTTCACCACCAAAAATTGTAGCCTACTGGCAATTCCTGTCTTTCAAAAGAGAGTTCAAAAATCTCGATAGGGGCTGTGAGTGCCTGTGATATGGTCCTAATTATAGCCACCACATCCCATCGATGACAGGATTACCAGTATATTTTTCAACAATGAGTGTGTCCCAGCCCTTCAAAACTGCCCTACAAAGGATGCCAATGACATCGAAATCACACAACATAAACAAGATACCAAACAAGTAAAGCTTCAGGCCTAGCCATAATATAATTTCCAATAAATTCGGGATCAGAATCCTCTCCAGTCTGAGATGCCCTGCAGCACACACACACACCACGTTACTCATGTATTAAAATGAAGTCGTCTTGTACTTTGACCTTCGCCATTGGTGAATTTTCACCATTATAATGGTGAAATACAACATTTAAAGTGGTAAATTTTCAAAATAAACGAGGTGTACTGGAGAGAATTTTGATTTCCATTTTATCTGGACCAAAACAATTTTTAGTTCTTTCGAGAAAACTGGATGATGCAAGTTCCTCCTTTGCAACAAGGACTACCACTTAAAATCAGTATTGTATCAAATACAAGATTGACTAGTTTTTATCTAACTGCCCAAAAGAAGAGCGTCACTCGAGCGACATCCTCGATCATGAGGGCAACTGTTCTTAGAGGCTGCACACAATAAGTCTTGTCCGTACAAGAATGAATTTATCACCTGCACTACATTGAAATATTTACTTAGATATATCTGGAGGGAAAAAAAAATTACATCATATAGTGGTAGAAGTCGTCATTACCTGTAAGGATGCTGAATCAAATTAAGTAGATGTTTCTACTGGATTGATAGTGACAAAAATAGTGGCACCAGGTCTGGAATTGCCCAAAAGAAGAGCATCACTCGATAGACATCCTCGATCAAGAGGGTGACTGTTCTTAGAGGCTGCACACAATAACTCGTGTCAACATGCATGATCGCTTCAGGCACCTCCAGAGAAATTCCCACAGAGGAGCATTTTCTTTACCTCCAGCAGCATCAGTCTAAAATGTTGAAGATCTGTGATTAATGAAAATCTGAACCAAATGTGCCAGAATATACAACAGACTCATCGGTGTGAAGGGAAAGTACCACCGTCCTTGGTCGTCTCAGTTCCATTCCAAAACTCAACATCTTTTGGTCATCTCTGATGACATAAAAGATATAAAACAATCTTCAAACTCACATACATTGGAACTGGAACCAGAGAACACCTTTTTTTTCATTCCTCTTTTTCAATTTACTATTATCGTATAATGGTACAGAATACATCTTTTTTATTTTTTCTTGTACTATATCATACAGAGAACCCCTCTTATTTCCTATCACAATAGTATGGAGTACTACTATAAAAAACTCAGACTGAAATCTAGAGCTATTTGACTCCCCATACAACCAGAAACCAACCCGGCGACAATCCATTGGTACATTAACATTTCAAACCCTGAATACTTAACTCCCTTCAGACTAGCAGTCATTGAAGGCAACTAGGAGGAAAAGAAAGTGAAGCAAACATTTAAAGCTGACTGACATCACCATTTAATAAGCCGTTTATTTCTGCTCTCACAAATCAAGGCTGTAAAAGCGCCAGACATGGAGTTTAACAGCTCTCATAAGAATCAACTTGGCTCCATAATGTCTCAGCATAAGCCTTTTCATCTTCCTTCTCCTCCGTGATGTAATCAGCTGCCTCTAATACTTCATCTTCTTCGTCAGGAATCTCCTCTTCCATCAATTCTCCTGGAATTGATGCTTCCACAAATTTTTCTCTTTCTCGCTCGGTAAGTTCGGCCAGTGCCTCCCTCATGGCCTGTGCTGTTGCTGGCCTGTCTGTGCTCCTATATTTTGGGGCAGGTACAACAAATGGCAAAATAATTTCATCCAAGCTTCTACTCCTTTGGTTGGCGTCATTCTTCATATCTGATGGGGGAACTACAAACACGATACCAAGTTCATAGTTGCAGATGTGAAGCCTTGGTCCCAAAACAGAATTTGTTTTCATAGCTCCATTGGCTTTCATCACAGGCGAATTGGAAAGTGAACGTCCCCAAGCAGCTGCACTAAAATTATGTGACCCACAATAGACCCATCCAAATGAAGATCCATCTGTCTTGGACTGAAATCGTCTTCGCGCCACCTGCTTGCACCATGCAAAATCTCATTTTCAGTTAACAAGCAATTTCTGAAGGCAAAGATATATGCTACGAAGAATGGATACAGATACAGATACAGACACGGGACACGACACAATACAACAAGGATATGCCGACACATCAAATTCTAAAAAAGTAGGATACGGACATGGCGTGGACACAACTAATATAAATATACATTTTCATTTATATATCTATTGAATGAGACAATCATAGAACCTTAATTAATTTACAAATTATATACTAAAGTTAGATAAGTTAGATGATGACGATATTCGAATATCAAAAAGAATATTTTATATTGTATATGATATTACCACCGTATCTTGTCATTATAGTTATGTTTTTGTTCCTTAGAGGTTCAACACTTTGATATACGTTCATAAAAATGTTTTTTTCAGGACTATCAGTGCGTTTGTTTTATATAAGATGAAGAGTGTATGATGTGTTGATCGAGTGTCCGAGATGTGTTGACAAAGTGTCCGAGATGTGTCAACCTACTGTCCAAAATAATAAAATTGATTTTTAAAAAATTGACATGGCCATGAAGTGTCGGTGTCCGACACTGACAAGGAACATCATAGAAGTGTCTATGCTTCTTAGGATATATGATCATGAAGCTTATATGAAATACTACATGTAAAACTAGAGCCAAGACTGCTTGCTGCAATATAACTGTATAAAAGGTACAATTTAGAGAGGAGTCTTCTCGCACTTGCATAGTACATGGCAACATAAGTCGACAGATGCATGATGTGTTGACCCTTGCTGAGCCTTCCTTCTTCTATCGCTAGCTACATGGAGAGTCTACGTCCATCACCACGTACTATGTGATTGCATGGTGATATAAGTCAACAGCTAAATCCATCTCTGTCTGCATCTGTTTACTAACTGTATATATACACATATACGTATATATGGGTGTTATATTACCATTAAAATTTCAGTTACTCAGCTACAGGGAGAGTCTTCCTTCTTCTTTCATTTTATTTATTTTTGGTGTGGGGTGGGGGGGAGGGTGGGGAAGCGGATTTAGTTAAGACAAAACTGACATACAATTTTAGTAGGTGGTATGTGTTCAAGTGGCGTAATATGAAAGCTCTGACTTCAAAAAGGGCTATGATCACGTTAGCTGGTGTTTGCTCATTGATATCTGATAGTACTAAGGCCCGGAACCCAATATTCTGATTAAAAGTAGTGGAAGGTCCACTGATCTAGACCTAGAGGGGTGGGGGTGGGGTGAATAGGTCTTGTAGAAAAATCAACTGTTTTAACTAATTTTGAATTTAAAAAATATAACTAAAATTTCTATCTCAATAAACTAGCAAATAGTAAAAATCAAGCAAACCACAGCAATAATTTTTTTTTTTTTTTTTTTTTTTTTTTTTTGATAAGTAGCAAACCACAGCAATTTAAAGCAGTAAACTTTTACGTGAAAAACCCTAGAAAGCAAAAAAACCATGGGACCTAGTCAAACCAATCCACTATCAAGAAAGAAGGATTACAACCTAAGTTAACAGTTCAGTGACTCTTTAACTCCGAGTTACATCCTTGACACGGAAGACTCCAAACTTTTACCCAAAAAGTTTCCACCAGTGCTTCCATTCTTCAACAGTACCCCCTCATCATGAACCTGCTTCTCTAGTAAAATGATCTCAGCCACTATTTGAAATCTAAATGCCAATCTAGTTGTGGATTGAACAGGAGTGTTGAACCGATCTTTTGAGTATGCAGCAGCAGATGCCAACACAGGTATAAATTCACCAAAACTAAGTATGATGAATATAAAAGAAAAATATGCACTCCAGAAAAACTTAAAAAAAAACTGATCTCAATGATGTATTGTGTGTGTTTTCTTCTTGTCTATAGGTCTGCCCTAGTGTAACACACATATATAAACCAAGTAGCAGTAAGAGAACAGGTTTTTGTAGACTTTAAGACCAAGTTGGAAACTGCCTTGCTGAACAGCTTGATAGATCGAATTAGACATCGACATCACTCCAGAATCCTTTGATTGGTGCCACAATCAATCAACTACTACTGAAGGTTATTTTTCAGAATGGAAGTTTCCAAAACTTACTCATGCAAGTGTAAATCATTTAAAGAATCAAAGTCAGTTTGAAACTTAGAAACCCTAGACATGCATTGCATGAACCCTAATTTGGTGAGTGCACAAGTGTCAAATTACCTTTTTGCCCTTGTCGATGAAGATTACCGAATACCAAAGTTAACTAAAAATAACTAACTTTTGAACAGTTTCTGAAATAAAAACAAAAGTAAAACTCAAGTTTTGATCTACAAAATTTACCAACACAAGTCCTACTGACTTGACAATATCTTCAAAGAGTAGGGTCTGTGCCTAAGTGGAAAAGATCTAAGCTGTTGCTCATCAGCTTCTGGTTAGTGCTGATTAAATAATTGTTCAACTGGTTTCTCCAAAAGCTCAAAAAGGTCGAGCCACATGACCTGTTAGCTCCTCTCATTCTAGTCCTAGTGACAGAATAATTTGGTAGGTTGACTTCCAAAAGTTGGAAGAGCGAGCTTACTCAGAGTAATTTAGAATGTTATCATGTCATATTTTATGATTTTTACTTTTTCTTTCATCTGCAGTCTAGTGGCAAGGAAGTAGAATTTTAAAAAAGATTCAGAAACTCTTTTGATTGAGTGAGTTGACGAACCTACTCTTCAGTTGACCAGAAGACTACTACGCGTGTTCAACTTCACCCATTATCTACGACATTACACGCTTCATTGTTAGATAAGCGATTGTCGATACTTGTAAAGGTGATGAAGAGTTTACAAAGGAAGGTTTTAATCTATAAGATTAGAAGTGAAAGCAATGATGGATTGTGAAGGATGGTAGAGGAAATTACAAAATAGGTGCCAGGTAAAGAATTCCAGAAGCACCTCTTTTTTCAAAGGCGTTGTTTTTTCCATTGTGAACATATAAGCTTTCACTTTTCCAGTATTGCGCAGCGAGGATACTTTACAATGATGTCCTAAAGTCTATTTGGTAACACAACATTTTTTATACTTTTGGAGTAATTAAGAGGATAACAAAATGCATTGGAGTCCTTTCACAAGACATTCTTGCACTTGAGCTTTAAAAATAATTTTTCATTTTTGTCCTCAAAACTTTATTAATTGAAGATGTATGAATCTAAGGCAAATACTTTGGATTATAAGGACAACCAAAATGAGAGCCCTTGTCTGAGGGGATCTTCCCAGACATGCATTTTTCAGGAATCTATGGCACTAACAAAACTTGCTCATTCAATCCTTTCGGACAGCCATAGGCAGTGATTCCCAGGTTCCTTTCATCTCAATTTAATTTGTAAAACCATAACTGAAATGCATATGGTAGAGGAAAGAAAATCAAAGTGGATTAGTATCTAGTACTGCGCTACAACACCAAGTCACCATGAGTATTTCTATCTCCTTAACAATATTGTCAAGATCAAATTTCAAATATTGTGAGACAAACCAAGGATTATTCTATCAAATTGGAAATCTTTCTTGATCACCCAGTGTACCCATTATGGCACATAACTGAAGCTTTCTAATGCTCTTTACCATAAGAAGATAACTTTCATTTAATAAAAAAAATAAGAATCAAACTCCAAATAAGATGGATAACTTTTTACCTTACTATGCATTGGATGCCCAACTCTCTCATTGGGGTAGGGAATTGAATCATGAAGTATGTCTATGTTTCTCAACCTTTGCCATGTTTTCTGTAAAATAAGAACCTAAAGTTAATTACAACTTGTTCAAAGGAGATGAATAATCCAAATAGGAAAACAGATTATTGGTTATGGGACAATATTAATTTCGTTTGTCTGTATGCATCTGTTTACTAACTGAAATTTTAATGGTAATACAACACCCATTAGCCATATATATATATGTATTTGTTGTGCGTGTGAGAGGGAGGGGGAATTGAACGATCGTATGCTTCACTGCATAGAAAAATGAATTTTATTTTCATATTAAATACGCTACTGATCAGGTAAAGGGTGCACATTCTCCATTTAGTAGGCACTTATCATAATGTGTATATTCATGCACTCTTAAGTTAATACATACACTTGTAATAGCTAGGAGAGACCTCAGCCTGACATTCATACAATGATACAAATAAAAGTTGCAATTAGTTGAATAATACGAGCAACTGGATTTGACCAGGACTAGACGTACATTTTCCTTCAAGATCCAGGTTGGCTCATTTGGCAATTCAAACAAACCAGGTCTATCTCATATCTCATTAAAGTTTAAATTAAGGATTAATTGTAATTTTAAAAGAGCTCTTAGGTCCCAGACCATTTTGTTTACTTGAGAGAACCCCACCCCACCCCACCCCTATGGAGTGGCACTCATTGAACCAGCTCATATTCTGACTCACACCTGCCAAACTTAACTTTGTCAACCCCAATATATCCAATTATAGAATCTACTTGAACTTAATGACATTAGCTTAAGGCCAATTAAAAGGATGGCATACCTGTGAGAAGCAGAGAATGTATTTAGAAGCCAATATTCCACAACTTCCATTTTTCACTCTGTCAATAGTAGGGAAAATGATTCTAATTGACGGATGTCTTGATTCTTGACTTGCACTCCAGCAGCCCCACTGCAAAGACCAATGGTAAAGTAGTACAGAATCCAAGTATAAACATAACGTCAAATTTCAATACCTATCACACAAATCAAAGATCCTAGAGATTTTATTACATCTGGATCAGATTCCTCAGACTCAGAGAATCGCAATGATTTTTTACCAGCAGCTGCTGAGAAAGCAGCTAAGAATTGTGCATTGACTGACCCAATTGAGGATGAACCTTGAGAGTAGAACAGTTAGCAAACACAAAGTTAAAAATAATATATTTCAAATGCCAGCTAATTTGTCTACTGAAAAATAATAATAATTAAAAAAACTCACCATAAATAAAATCAGTTTCCAAATGTTCAGGCCATTTGTGTTGAGCCAAAACCTTATCAAAGACAAAAGAAACAAAACGAATGTGAGAAGCTTCTTAACCAGGAATAAATGTCAAACATTAATGTTGCAAACTGATGGATAGCTCCAATAGTTTGTTCCAACTTCCAACCAGATCCAGATTCCAGTTCTTTCGTAACCTTTAATCCTATTATTTTAATCCATCAAGGAATTTTTTTGGGGTGTCCAAATAGAGAACAATGTTAAGATGGTACCAGGTCTCCAAGTAAATTCACAGCACATAATTTCTTTACTGCTTTTAAAAAATAATAATTATATTTTCCATATATAATCTAGAAAAAACATTTTAAAAATAAAATAAAATAAAAAACGACGGAAGCCTTTGTTGTTATGGATAAAAAATGAGCAGCATGGTTTATCTCTGCTTGGCAGGATAAAAACACTTGGTTCTTTCTAAACAGAACACAAGCACGATCTTTTGTAACCTTGTTTTACAATAACACATTATTCACATCTTATTAACAGATCATAGAACTACTTGCTATAAATAATATGCTTACACATGCTGCATAAAAATTGTATAAATGCAAAATATACAACAGAATGTCGCATCTAAACCTGAAAATTTCTCTCCAATTTCGCCACTCAAACCTCAATGAGTTCTTTCTATCGAGCTTACAGTAGGCACCCTCCTTGAAATTTGGCCTTAGCAAGGTCGTGTGGATGCACAAAAAAATAGTTTCCATAATGAGCACAAAGTGGCCTTTTTTGCTTGGACATCCATTTTGAGGAAGATGATCTTGAACCAGGATAACCTTAGAAGGAAAAGACAGATTGTGGTCAATTGGTGTTGTATGTGTAAGAATGACGAGGAAACGGTTGATCATTTACTTTTGCATTTTCAGTGGCTCAGGAGTGCTGGACTTTGTTGCTGGGCTTGTTTGCGGTTCAGTGGGTTATGCCCAGGTCTTCGAGAGGCTTGGTTGAGGCTTGGAGACGTTGTATAGTGAGAGCCCAACCTCGTGGCTTTTGGAGGGTTACGCCTTTGTGCATCTGGTGGTGTCTTTGGCTTGAAAGAAATAGGAGATCTTTCAAAGGAGAGGAGAATCCTATTGGGTCATTGAAATTCTCTATTCTAAGTACCCTTTTCTGTTGGGTTCTAGGGAGAAATTGGAGGAACTTGTGGATTTTTTTTTTTTTTTTTTCTTTTTGAGGGTCTAAAGGCCCTATTTGGACCCTCAAAAAAATAAAAATAAATAAATCAACAAGTTCCTATTTGGCCTTGTGTAGCTTTTGAGGGATGCTTTCCCCGAAATCCTCTGCTATTTTCCTTCTTCGCGTTTCTTTTTCTCTGTTGGGTTTGATTTTTGTGGTTTCAGTGGGTGTCTCTCTTTGGCTGCTTTCATGAGATCCCTCGACGGCCAGAGGTTGTCTTACTTGGAGGTCGCCAGTCTCACTCGTCTGGTGAGGTGGAGCGTGTTTCATCTTCCAGCGATCATGTGTTTAGGGTGGACTCTCACAGCACCTCTTCTCGCGAACGTACACTTAGGGCTTGTCTTGTTGGGAGATTTGATAGAGAGATGGGGACTATGGAAAAAATCGAAGAATGGGCTACGAAGACTTTGGGGGGGGGGGGGGGTTCGGGTGTCTTCTCTACCCGATGGGCTTTTGCTCTTCCAATTCCCGTCGGTTATGGTGGCACAGAAGGTCCTTGATTGGGGTAAAAAATCATGGGGAAAGGCACAGCTTTTCATCGACCTTTGGTATTACAGGGTTGGATTGAGATCGAAGACCCACCACCGGAGACTCATTGTGTATGGCCTTCCCTTGCATCTGTGGTGCCAGAAGCTTTTCGTTGCCATTGGGGATGCTTGTGGAGGGTTTTGGGATGTTAAGGCTTATGAGCTGAGTGGCACAAAGAGGATTGTGGTCACTGTGGTTGAAGGCGGCGAGATTCTGGAGTCCATCATTGTGGAGGACGGGCAGTGGGCCTTCAGAGTTTCGTTAACTGAAGAAATTGCTCCGTCCCTTATGCTGTTGTCCAGGACATGTGCCGGAAGGGAGGATGTGAGACCACTGGTGGCATCGATTAGAGGGTCTCGTCCGTCGCGCAGGTTTGGACTTGGGGATAGATCTGTGCCGGAGGTTCAGAAGGTGGCTTTGCAGGACCGCAGGTCTCATCCCCAGGGACGCGTGACGTGGAACGCACCCAAGGGGAGTGGGAGTGGGAGGGATGTTGTAGGACACGTGGTTGGAAGAAGAACGACTACCGTTGTGAGTGGATGACAGCTGCTGAGTCACGTGAGGATAGAGGAGATTTGAATCTTACAACTGTTAGCTGTTGGTTTTGGGCCTTCTCAGTGTGGGATTGGGCATATGGGTTTGAGAGGTACTGAATGGCTTGGGCATAATAGGGCTTTGTCTGGGCAATCAGTTTCTTCTGGGCCTGGACACTCTTCGAGGGTTGATAGGTGGGCTGGTCATGATGGACTTAAGTCAGTTGGGCCACCCATTTCTTCTGGCCTGTTCAGGCTAAGGCCAGCTTTTCTAAGGAAAGGGTGGTGAGTTGGGGCCCAAACAAGTGTCTTTCAATTTCCATTCTTGATGTGCAGCCCAGCCCAGCCTCAGATGTGTTATCCAGCCTTGGTGTTCTCGATTCTTCTAAGGACAAGGCATAGAGGAGTTCGGACCTGAGATCTTGGTCGAGGAAGGAGAAGGAGAACTGGGCGAAGGTAAGTATGCTCAAGATGAAGGGTGCTAGGGTTTGTTCGAAGAATTTTCGGCATGGCAAATGCTGTCAGAAGTTGCTCTCTGGGAACAGATTTGTCCCGATTCAGTCGGGATCTTTGGGTGATGATGAGTTTGGTGGCTTCGCAACTATGAAAGAGGATGGTCCATCTTCGAGCTTTTCGCTTCAGTCCAATAAGAAATGGACTAGAAATGACAAACAAAAGTGGGTTGCCAGTAAAGCCCCTCATTCTATTTCAGCTATGTTCCCCTCCTCCCGTTCTCGGAGCTCTCCTTCTGCTCCTTCTGTCTCTACTCCTTTTTGTGGGATGTTGGGAAGTGAGGTGGGGGCGGATTTGGGTAGGAGGCCTCAGATGTTATCGCCGGTGGTTAAGGTGGACTCTGTGGATGAGGTGGTTGTTACGGATGGTTCTGAGATTTGGGTTTTTGGGCCGTCAGAAAAGGATGGGACGGTCGGTTTGCTTGTTAACAGGGGTTATGATGGATTTTGTGTCGGGCATGCTAAGTCTTGCTCGGATTTGTCTTCCTCTTCTCTACAGTATGCTTCGCAAGGGGAGGAGTTGGGTAGGTTGGTCGAGTCTTCTTTAAGTAGAACGAAAAGCCTGTGCTCACCTAAGGGTGTTAGTCCGGGGATACCTTCGAAGAGTTCTGTACCAGAGTTGTTGACAGTCTGTGTTGGCAAGGATATCCGAATTACCCTCAGTAATGAATTTGCCTCTTTGTTAATTAAGGAGTTGCAGAAGCATAGGTGTTTACCTGATGCCCTGCCCACTATTGATCCTGACCCTTACGTTCAAAAGGTTGGTTGGATATTGGCGTCGACTGGACATCGTGTTTTGATGAGGAGGGGGAGGCCGAGGGAGGAGATGTTGATGGGAGCAGGGTTGATCAGGGCAGGTCTCTTGACATGATCTTGTGGGAGGAGGAGAGTCTTACTAATTTGGGGATGGTGGATCCTTTGGCTATTGTTCTTCCAGAGGGCTTGGACAGTGTGATGGGTAGGCAGGAATGTGATGACACTGGCAAGGATTGGATCATAGCTAATATCAGGGCCACTAGCGAGCTGTTGGGTGTCTCTTGTATGGGCAATTGGGATCAAGCCTTAGCAATCCTTCAGGCTACGGTGGAGGGGAGAGAAGGGGAGATGATTCAGTTCTCTAGAAGGAGGAGCAGAAAGAAGAAGATTCCTACTTCTTGGCGAGGGGAGAGAGAGTTGAGGAACCTTTGTTCAGATGTGAACTATGAGAGGATGCTTGTGGGGGAAAAGGAGAGGGGCAGTAACAAGGGGGGAGGGAGGGGTACGGGAGAGGTGGGTGTGATTGTTTCCTCATGAAGCTACAACTTTTATCTAGGAATGTCCGTGGTCTTAATGATCAGGGCAAGAGGAAGGTGGTGAAGATGGTTGTGAGGAAATGGGGGTTCATTTGGTGTGTCTTCAAGAAATGAGGATTGATTCTATGACTGATAGTGTGGTGAAGAGCCTGTGGGGTAATCGGTTTGTAGAGTGGGAGGCTCTGGATTCTTTAGGGACCTTTGGTGGTGTTCTTCTTATGTGGGATAGGAGATGGATGGCTAAGGTGGATGTTTGTAGGGGGCGCTCCTCTTTGTCTTATGCCTTTGTGATGGAGGATGATTTCTCTTGGGCCTTTTCTGGGGTGTATAGGCCGGTGGATGATTGCGAGAGAGATGGGATGTGGGAGGAGCTTAGTGGGGTGAAGGGGAGGTGGTCTCCTCCTTGGTGTGTAGCCGGAGACTTCAATGTGGTTAGATCCCCGTCGGAGAGATCTACAGGTGGTCCGTAGACTCAGGCTATGATGCACTTTTCGGATTTTATTGATGGTCACCAGCTTCTTGATCTTCCTTTAGAGGGAGATTCTTTTACTTGGTCCAGTGGAAGGGAAGCACTTACTCTTTCTCCCCTATATCGTTTCTTGGTCTCTGATGAATGGGAGGAGAAGTTTCCAAACGCCATCCAGGTTGTGTTGGCTAAGGTGACATCTGACCACATTCCTTTGGTTTTGGACTGTGGAGGATTGAGATCTCGTTGTACTCCTTTCAGATTTGAGAACATGCGGCTTAGAGCGGAGAACTTCCAGGAGACTGTGCATTTTTGGTGGGAGGAGGATTTGGTGGTGGAAATGTCGAGTTTTATTTTAGCAGGAAAGCTTCGACTCCTGAAAAATAAACTCAAAAGATGGAATAAGGAGGTGTTCGGGAATCTGGAGTGGAGGAAGAATAGGGCTTTGGCTGACATTAAGAGATTGGAAAGGGAGGGCGTCCTTCTTGAGCCTCATCGGATTAAGAGAGCAACTTGTCAAGCAAAGTGTGCTGAGATTGCAATTTTAGAGGAAATTTCTTGGCGTAAGAAATCTCGGGCCTTGTGGCTCAAAGAGGGTGACCGTAATACAAAGTTTTTCCATAGAACTGCTAATGCCCGGAGGGGCAACCATATTGGGCGGATGTGTGTGGATGGAACGGTCTTGACTACGGAGGAGGAGGTGCGAAGCGGTATTGTTTCTTTCTATCAAAGGCTCTACTCCGAGCCTCTTCGATGGAGGCCACGGCTTAATGGTCTTCACTTTGATTCCATTTCAGCTGTGGAGAGGATTGGGTTGGAGTCTTGGAGAGCCCCTTTACGGAGGATGAGGTTCTGAAGACTCTGAAGAGCTGTAATGGTGACAAGGCTCCAGGCCGGGATGGTTTTAATATGAGATTTCTGTTGGAGAGCTGGGAGGTGATTAGATATAAGGTTATGGGCACTTTTCATGAGTTTCATTGTAATGGGAGGCTCGATAAATCGTTGAACTCATCTTTTATTGCTCTTATTCCTAAGAAGGGCAGTGCTTCTGATGTTAAGGACTTTAGACCAATCAGTCTGATTGGGTGTATTTATAAGCTTATCGCGAAAGTCCTTGCGTTAAGGTTGAGGGAGGTCTTGGATGGAGTCATCTCTGAGTCTCAAAATGTGTTCATTGGGGGTAGACAGATCTTGGACTCCGCTCTCATTGCCAGTGAATGTGTGGATTTTCGACTTAGTAGTGGTGTTCCTGGTGTTCTGCGCAAGCTGGATATCGAGAAAGCCTATGATCATGTATGCTGGAATTTCTTGTTTTATCTATTAGAGAGGATGGGCTTTAGAGAGAAATGGAGGAGATGGATTGTCACATGTGTTTCCTCTGTCAGATTTTCAGTGTTGGTGAATGGGTTTCCTTCTAGGTTTTTCGGCAGTTCTCGCGGTTTGAGGCAAGGGGATCCTCTCTCCCCTTTCCTGTTCATTATTGTTATGGAGGCCTTTAGTTGGTTGATGAGAAGGGCCGTGGATTTGGGTTTCATCAGGGGGTTCAATATTGGTCCTGACTCTGTCCAGCAGATAGAGATTTCTCACCTACTTTTCACGGATGACACTCTGGTTTTTTGTGAGGCAGAGGTGTCCCAGTTGCGTTATTTGAGATGTGTCCTGGTTTGTTTTCAGGCTGTCTTTGGTTTGAAAGTCAACGTGGGAAAGAGCGTGCTTGTCCCTATGGGGGAGGTTCAGGAGGTGGATACTCTTGCTGCCGTTTTAGGGTGTGGGACGAGATGTTTCCCTATTTCGTACTTGGGTTTGCCGCTAGGTGACTCGGCCAGGAGGGTGGGTAGTTGGGACCCGGTGATTGAGCGGTTTGAGAGAAGGTTGGCTGGATAGAAAAAGCAATATCTTTCAAAGGGTGGTAAAGTTACTTTAGTGAAGAGTACTTTGTCCATCCTTCCAACTTATTTTCTCTCGCTTTTCCAGATCCCCCCCTCCATTGTTAGAAGACTTGAGATGCTTCAACGGAATTATCTTTGGGGCAGTCGGGGGGAGGAGTTCAAGTATCACCTTGTCTGGTGGGAGCAAATTTGTAGGCCTTTTCAGTTGGGAGGGCTTAGGATTAGGAGACTACCCCTTTCAACAGTGCTCTCCTAGGCAAGTGGTTATGGAGATTCGGCAATGAAAGACACAGATTATGGAGGAAGGTCGTTTCATGTCAGTTTGGGGAGGAAAAAGGGGGTTGGTCAGCTAGGCCAGTCAGGTCTGCGGCCGACGTAAGGGTGTGGAGATCCATCGGGAAGGGGTGGGATGTGTTCTCTAACCATATTAGATTCAGAGTTCGGAATGGAAGGGATGTCTAGTTTTGGGAGGATACCTGGTGCGAGGATCGCCCATTGTCTCTTTTGTTCCCAAGGTTGTTCAGGATTATTGTTGACAGACATGCTTTGGTTGCTGACTGCTATCGTCTTGATAGCGGAAGGTTGTCTTGGGATGTGCGTTTCCAACTATCCTTTCAGGATTGGGAGTTGGATGACGTCATTGGTTTGCTGGCTCTCTTGTATAGATAGGAGGTGGATGACACTGGTGCGGATTCCCTGACTTGGGTGCCGTCGGCGCAGAGGACTTTTCAGGTCCGGTCCTTCTTTTTCTGTCTCTCTGGGTTTCACGTAACCACTTTCCCGTGGAAGATGGTTTGGTTGTCAGAGGTGCCTCTTAAAGTGGCCTTTTTTGTGTGGATCGCAACTTGGGATAAGATTTTGACTCTGGACAATTTGAGAAAGAGAAGATAAATTATTGTTAATTGATGTTATCTTTGTAAAAGTGATGGAGAGTCCGTGGATCACCTTCTTCTGCATTGTCCTGTGGCCCATGACTGTTGGAGTCTTATTTTGGGACTTTTTGGTGTCCATTGGGTCATGCCCCGGACCTCAAGGGATTTGATGGATATCTGGAGGGGCCAAAGGGTGGGGGTGCATGTTAGGGACTTTTGGAGGGTGACCGCCCTTTGTGTTTGCTGGAGCCTTCGAGAAGAACGGGATAGAAGATCTTTTGATGGGGAGGAATCTTCCATTGGGGCGTTAAAAGTTTTCTATTATTTATTCTCTTTTCTGTTGCGATTGGGGGAGAAATTATTCATCTATAGATGAAATTGTGGACTTTTTGGGTTCTTTGGGTTCACAAGCCTTTCCCCTTTTCTTTTGTCTGGCTTTTGTACAGCTCTTGGGACGCGTTCCCCTTTTGAACGCTTTCTAATACATTTTTACTTATCAAAAAAGAAAAAGAAAAAGAGGGATGCATTCCCCTTTTGAACACTTTTAATACAATTCTTACTTATCTAATCAAAAACAATGAAAACAAAAAATCGACCACAAGGAACTTTTGTTGGGGGGTTGGGGAACAAAATTGTGCCTTGAAAAAGCAATTTACAACCATGTATAAGGTGTACACAATGAAGAACTGTTAACCCAGAAAATTTAGTACTATTACCTCTTGAAGTCGCCAGAGGCCTGTGCACCTCTGAATTGATGCAACAAGTGAGCATATTGCTGGAACATGTTCAGGTTGCATTACTTTTGATATATCTGAAAAACTAGGCCCCTATGCAAAACAAAATCACAGCTATAATAAATTTTGCATGAACATGTATGATTTAGAATAAAACTGCTAGATGTAACCAATCCAATAAATGGCTTAAACAGCATGCCTGTGATAAATATAGTATCAGTTGTACTTTGTTGTTACTTCCTTCTATAGCAGCTGCAAGGACTTCTTTTGGATATATATATCCAAAGAATCTGAACAAGCCAACATCCCACAATGGAGCAACCCATTTCGCAACATTTTTTGGCAGAAACCCAATTTGAATGCAATCTAGGAAAAAGAGTGAAGCAAAACAAACAGTTAACGAAGTCAAAGCATAAAAAGTCCTAGCTAAAAATACATGTAAATACAAAGGAAAAGATCACTATGTGCGAAGAAATGTGTCTTAAAATTTTAAATAAAAAATCATCAGAAGCCCCAGTGCAAAGACAGGCTATGTATGAGCTCCTTTGTATGCATCAAGAGAATGTCAATTATCCAGGCAAACACTTTATCTAAAGAAAAAACTTTGATCTTGGCAAGACAAGCTAAAGGCAATCACTTCAATGGAGTGTGGACAGTAAATTACTTCTGTAATTATTCCCTTTAAAATAAATCTAACATATGAGAGGTGCTTTAATATAACAATAGAATATAATGGGGATCATAAAATTTCCACCCAACTTTCACACCATGAGACACCTAATCTGTAGAAAGGGCAGCTTTCCCCCTCACCCACCCAACAAAATTATTCAGATTTGAGGGATTAAAGCGAATCTGCCCCAATTTGAGAATTATGGACTGTCTCATCCTCATTATTTTGACTTAGATAAACCCCCCCCCCCCCCCCCCCAAAAAAAAAAAAAAAACCAAAAAAGGAAAAAGAACTCCCAAAAATCAGGGACTCGAAATGCCTACCATGCAACCTGAATACCACGCCTAAGAACTACCAAAGCCAGAATACTACTTGTGTCCCTCTATAGCAGTATAATACATATTTAACACTAATAAAGTATTATAAGTATAAAACATTTCTGCACAAAACCGGTATATGTATATTTGCATTTAGGCACATACATTTGCATTTGTGCATGTCCATGCATACATGTGGCATTTTAAAATTACCATTCTTGCACTCACTACCACACTTTTGTTGATGGGTTTACACGCATGAAATGTAACCAGAACGAACCTGAGGCTCTTAAACAAAGTCACGCGAGGTCGTCTGACCTAAAGTTTGTGGGTGGGGAGGGGGTTGTTGAATTGGTATTGTAGAACAAATCACTCTTTTTAAAATTTAGTTATTTAATTACCAATAATCTGGTTATTTTGCTTTTTATCAGTTTTTAATAAATAGAAAGTAAAACCAATAACGATGAATACCAGATTTTTACATGGAAAAATCCGGTTAAAAAACCACAGGACCTAGTCCAACAAATTAATCCACTATATAGAAAGAGATGTACAAGCTAGGTCACAGCTCAGTACGGTCGAGCTCCCTAGTTGATCTCTAGACACAGTAAACACCAAACCTTCAGTAGGGTTGAAGATCTCCAGGTCATCTACTGATCTGTCTACAACATTCTTTACACGAATCTGCTTCTTTACTGATTAATTCTCTGCCACTAGTCAGTCCAGATGCAAATCAGGTAGATTACTCTTGCAGTGTTGAATGATCAGGAGCAGATCAGCAGCGGATGTTTAAACACGAGTGTGCAACTCACCAAACTATGATGTATGATGAATGTTAAAAAAAACAAATAAATGCACTTTTTCCCTCACAAGAAATCGTTCACATATATATGAAGTATATGAAAAACATGAAGTTTAATCTTGTGTATAAAAAAGAAACAAAGTGTTTAAGCTTTTCAAATAATGTAAAGGAATAATGGAAAAGCTCTCTCTAGTATCTGTAGGTTTTCTGAGATCATCTCTATTTATAAACACCCCAGAGATGTAGTTAAATCAGGCCAAAACTCTGTTTAAATCCAAACAAGATAAGACTCCAGTGTGCCTCGATCGACACCTGCTATTTACTGATACTTAGCAGAAAATGGTTTTGATTTTGAAAATCCATGCAAATTTAAAACCATGTTTTGAATTCCAAATAAGTTTAGAAAACTTTGAAATTTAGAAACCAACAGTATGAATGCATGATAATTACCAGAAAAGGAAAAAAAAAAAAAAACACTTTGAATGCATGAGCCTAATTGGTGAGAGGGCATCATAGGTCTAGCATTCTTTGCACCAAATCCTCTCAGCAGTTCATGAGCCATGATAATATTATCCTGAATCCTCCTTTCTTGGACGAATGCTGTCTGTTCTCTACCTACAATTCTCCCCAACACCTTTGCTAGTCTATTAGATAGAATTTTTGCAATGACCTTATAAAATGTATTACACAGAGAGATAGGTCTAAAATCTCCAACCTTTAAAGCATCCTTTTTCTTCTGAATTAAAGTAACAAAAGTACTATTGATACCTCTCCCCATATCTGGATGATTAAAGAAATGAATGATAGCATCAGTAAATTCCTCACCTACAATACCCCAAAATTGCTGAAAAAATCTTGCAGTAAATCCATCTGGACCAGGAACTCTATCAGGACCCATTGAAAAAACTGTGTTTTTCACTTCCTCCCTTGACACAGCATCCTCTAACATATCCACTTCCTCTGTAACAAGAGTTTTTCTGATAAATTTTGCTTCTGGACTACAGGTTGCAGGCTGAGTATTAGCATAAGCAGACTTAAAGTACCCTAAAAACTTATTTTTAATCAAAGTAGGATCAATGATAACCTCCCCCTCCTCATGAATAACTGTAACATTATTTCCTGCTCTATGTTGTGTGATTTTCTGGAAAAAAAAAATTAGAACACCTATCTTGATCCTTCACCCATCTAATTCTAGATTTCTGAGCCAGAATTAAAGCTTCATTAGAAATAGCAGCCTCCAATTTCATCCTACCTTCCCCCTCTTTCTACATAAGTTCTTCATTCATTGGATCATTATTCAATAGCTGCTAAGTATCATCAGCAAGAAACTTCCTAAAAGCAAGAACCTGTTCATACACAGACCCATATTTCTCCTTATTCCACTGCTTCACTTCCTGTTTAACCAGTTTTAGTTTAAACAACAATTTCTTAATTGGATCTCCACTAGTCCTCACTTTCCAAACATCAGCAATTAACTCCTTCACTGCAGGTTGTTTGTTCCAAACTGTCAGAAATCTAAATGGTTTTGGTCCATCTGCTATCTTCAATGGAAAATTAATACACAGCCCCCAATGATCAGAAGTCAAGGGTGAAGCTAAAACAATTTGGGAATTAGGGAAAGCCTGCTCCCAAGCCTCATTCATCAACCCTCTATCTAATCTAGCATAGATTCTTCTGTGAGTAAATCTCTTGTTACACCAGGAATATATACCATTTGTCACAGGAATATCTGTTAAACACAATGTATCAATGGTATGATTAAATTCAGCAAACACTCTAGAGAATGGTGTCTACCTCCCAATTTCTCAGAATTAAATCTCACAATGTTCCAATCCCCTATCAACATCCATCGACCTGTGATAAACTGAGCACTATCCACCAAATCCTTCCACAATAATTTCCTCTCAGTCGCTGTATTCTTGGCATATATAAAGGTTACAAAAACCTGTTATTAGACCCTCTGATCTCCACCTGTAATAAAATCATTTGAGCTTTAACCTCAATCACAGTCACTACCAGCCTCATGGGATCCCATCCACACCAGATACGACCCCCTGCATCAGCTGTATAATTTTTTTTTTTTGATAAGTAGCTGTATAATTATTCACCCAGTTCCAGTTACTTCTTATCCTATCTTTTAATCTCTGAAATTTAAAACTCTGAACTCTTGTTTTCACCAATCCACACAAAGATAAAGAGGAATTGCTCAACCAAGCTTTAACTTCTTTCTGCATAGCTTTCCTGTTGAGTCCTCTTAACATTCCATAAACCAATCATTAAGTAATTGAGTTTGGTGGAATTATCCCACCTGCAACCATTCCTCTTGCAATTCTGACAATACTTAGATCAACATCAACTTCTTTTTTCTATTTTTTCTTCTGTTTCTTTGATGAGGCTCCACCTTCTGGGGATACAGGTTATGTCATAACAGCTAGTTCTTCTTCCACTCTACCATCAGTACAATCTTCTTGAGTGTGATCCTCACTATCTTCTTGCCCTATATCAACTACTTGAGTTTGTTCCTTCTTATCTTCTTGCACTATACCAGACTTTTCCACACCTTGTTCAGACCCCAAATTATCCATAGTCTCTTCAATTTGCATAGGAATCACAGACTTCTCTCTCTCAGTACCAACATCAAGCACCTGGAATGCATTAGTAGATGTTACCTTAAACTGCAAATCAGGGGAAGCTACTCTATTCTTTCCTTTTGATTTTCTCTGTACCGTAAACCCCTCCTCCAACTCCTCCAGAACCTCATCTCTATAGCTTATATCTTTTGAGCTCTGAGCAGCACTAACCTCTTTCCCCTTATCTGATCTCTTCACCACCCACTGTTCCTTCTTTTTACTGGCTTTGATCTTATTCAATGGACACATATTTTCAGTATGTTCCATTTTCTTACAAATACCACAAACTTGAGGCTTCCATTCATATTCAACATGAACTTGAAACTGCATTCCATGAAGCCTAGTTTGGATAACTTCAGGAAAATCTCCATCCACCTCCATCTCTGCCAACACACGCACATATAAACCTCTCTCGCGACTTAGTGTTATAGCATCCATTTATAAAGGTTTGGCAATATTTGAAACAATCTTAGATACAGATGTCCCACTTCTAGCATGAACTGGAAGATCATATACCTTCATCCAAATTGGCACGGATGCTAAGATATTATGTTCTAACTGAATACTCTTATGCCATTTTTTCACAATAATTGCGCGACCTTGTAACGTATGAAATCTAGATAACACCTGTAACAGATCCTCCTCTGAAGGAAACCGCACTTGAAAAATCCATCTTTCATGGAAACCACCACTGCGTCTTTATGCCATCTTTTCTGAACATAAGCTTTGAAATATGGGAAATACGGCTTGCTTCCCAACACATAACACACTACAGAATTCTCCCAATATTTCAGTTCTTCCGCAATATCTTCATCTTCAATACCAATACACTCGTATGAGGAAGCAGCCGCGGGTAGGACACTACCCTCAGTAGAGGAGGGCTGCCCCTCCTCCATGGAGTTATCATCTTACGCTGTAACCCTAGGAAACCCTAGATCACGTATCGCCCTTGCCAGAGAGAAAAAGGGTAAAAATGTCCAATTGAGTTTCTTATTTTTATTTTTTATTTGTTGTTTTTTTTATTGGAAATGGTCATTCCTACTTTAATTAAGGTCGCCAGACACTAGAAATGGATTTGAGGCTAAACTGGGCATTCCATTCCATTTATTCCATTATACCAAACGTGGCCATATAATAATTTTAAACTGTCACAATTTGCATGGCAATGGCTTGTACATAATTTCGAAATCTATGTCCTAAGAAGACTGGACATATGCTCCAAAATCTTAAATATTGCCTATATTAGTAAAATGCAACTTTGGTGATATCCCCTTGAACGTTTTAAAACAAATAAAGATCCCAGTACATTTTCAAATAAAAAGACTATATATGCCTATAACCAAATATCTTTCAAAAAAACAAATTATATAACTCAATTTTAACCAAGATGCCATGTTAGATTTTTTACTTTTATTTTTATCCACTTTTTTGGCCATTTTAGTAGATCACCACCTAAGCAGCATAGACACGGGCAGATACGGCACACTTAATCTTTAAAAAGTAGAGCATGTACACAGAATGGACACAACTATATCTAAATATAATGTTACTATTTATATATATCTATGAATAAGACAATTATAGATCTTAAATTAACTTTGAATTTCTATACTACATATTACACAATTTAGAAGATGATGCTATTCGAATATCGTAAAGGTCATCATATTTTATATGTTAATACTCTCCTACATTTCCGTTACAATTATATTTTTGTATTACATATTTGTAAAAGTGTTTTGACTTGCGGTGACCATGTGTAAAATACTATAATGTAAATAAAGAAAAGTTTGGACTCTTTGAGGTGTGTTCATATTGTTCCAAGGTTGTCAAATGTAGCTACTCTAATGTGTTTGTGTTATATAAGACTCATCTTGGGGAGTATTTGGAATGTGTAGTCCAAGTGTTACAGGATGTGTCGTTCAAGTGACTAGATTAATAAAAATGTATGCATCTGTTCGAAGACGTATCTAGGATTGTCCATGAAGTATCTATGTCCGACACATGTTCAACACGAACATAACACCTTTGTAGAAGTGTCCGCACTTCTTAGATCACCACAAGTCAATTTGGAATGAATTGGTTTTTAGGCAAGAATAAAAATTAAACATGAGACAACAGTCATATCAGATAGAAAACTAAAATTTAAACATCTAATTTTTACTGTGAATAATGGCTTCACAACTACTTGTTCCTAGTCCTTTTCTATTTATAATGAATCAGACTTTAGTACTTTAAGTAAATGAGCATAGGACGAAAGCAGTAGGAAGTTCAATAGGAGAAAAAAGAAAAGGAAGAATCACGGGAGGGAAACCAGCTCATTCAGGAGAACGAAAATGCTACTCACTGCTACATGAAGTTCTCAGGGGAAATAAAAAAATTAAGAAGAAACAGGAGTACCCTTTGCAGTTTTCAAGGTTTGCAGACTCTAGCTTAATATTATTCATCACAATTTTTTTTGAATATATTAGTCCATGGTCGAACTATATTGCCTTAACAAGTTAACATGGTGCCCATAAAGGAGTATAAAGCAACAGTTATTTTTTCCAGAGCATCTCATTCTTAATCACATGGTATCTTATAAAAATCTTTCGAAGACTAATCAATAGAGAGAAAGAGGCATCATCAAGACCTGGTCAACCTACACGAGATGCTGTGTGAGAGAGACTAGAGGATCATTGGAAAGAAAATGGAAGAAAGCCGTACAAGACAAAATTTTACTCGATAAAGGAGCACAGACTTCTAGATCAAGCCATAATAGAGACATACAAAATCCTTGAGAGAATCAGAACAGAGAAATATAACCAATTTCATAATTAGTTTGCTTTTCCCACCTTTCCAACAACTTACCTCCTCTCGATCAGTAGTCCCTTCCACTGTAAGAGAACTCACCTTCATATTAGTATTTGATCTACTTAATTATCCAGACAATAATAGTTCCCTACAAGCCTGTAACATAAACTAGTACGGTTAAGGCAATTATCCCAGAAGAATCAGCATAAGGTGTCATTAGTTGGCTTCATATTTTATAATGATTTTTTGTTCTCTTTATCCAACTAGTGTGGTTTCCTTCATGCTTTATAACTGGCACCACATTAGTGATTATTTAGTGATATGATCTAATCTCAACCCTTCACTCTTTTTCCATTTTCCCCAGGAATATCTTTTTCTTTTCTTTTTTCTTTCTTTTTTTTTACTTTTTTGGAGAGTGGGGGGAGAAGGTGCTCATTTTGCTATCTACAATTTTTTTATAAGCCTCAATTTGCCATCTAAGGCCCAAAGCCTAAATTATTTGCAATGTATCATCTATTGGACACAGTAGATATATTTGTATGATGGGTGTAGTTTACTATAAGTAAATTCTACAACCTCAGTGCACACAAACTGGGAATTTTTCCTGGTTAATGATTACACAAACAATTTCCTTAGTAAACATACTTTCAGATCTATAATACAACATTAGAAATAAAAATTAAGGGCAACAAAGAACTCAAGGAAATGTGAGTTTATGAACATTAAGAAGTGATTGATATACCTCCCTCAGAAAACTCATCCGCATCAAAACCAAGAACGCTCACAGCGTTCACATCAGCTGGTATGGTTGTGTTTCTTCTTAAAATAATTTGTGTCATCCCATACACATTCTCACGACACTTTCCAAGGAGGGCAGCCAGCTTCTTTACCTGTGCACCATTTGAATCCACTGAAGTGCGAAAAAGGTGGCTTAAACCAACTACAGATGCTTCAACAGAACCAAGGAACTTCACACCAAATGACCGTGATTCAGACTGATTACCCTAACACACGCAAAACAATGCAGTTTAAGGCATTTTTTTAATAGAAACCTACTTTTCATGAAAAGAACACATTGTAATGAGCCCTTCCCATCATTATTTTCATAAGAAAAAAAAATAATAATCATTAAAAAAAGAGAAAGAATACTAGCAATTGAGAATATGCATGTATCCATCCAAGTCAAATGACAAGGAAGCAAGAAGATAATATTAAACAATTGAACTACCAATTTTTTCATAGAAAATAACTCATTGTAATGAGTCCTCTTGATTCTTATTTTCAAAATAAAAAATAAATTAGTAAAAGAAAAGATACAAGTAAAAAAGAAGAACGCAGCATCCCTCCAAGCCAAAAGACAAGCAAGCTAGAAAATAATAAAAACCGACCAAACTATTGGCCAAAGGATACTTCCCACATTATCACCTGACCCCAGTCGGGTTACAAAAAAAAAAAGAAAAAGGAACAGACTCCAAATCAAATTAGTTAAAACAATACCTCAGCTTAAGAGGGTAAAGATGGACTCGAAACCATCAAGATGATTGTCTATTCCTCCTGCAAGGAGAACACCATTCTCCATATGATGCCGCCAGCAAAAAAATAAATTAAGAACAGAACAAAATTAAGACACTACAAGGCAGCATTGAGTATTGAAAATCAGTGTTCCAACTTAACAAGTCTGTGTAACTTACTCCCATGTTACACATCTCAACTAAGTTGGCACACCTCATCTCACCACATGGTGCCAAGGTGGCAGGCTTCATGGCTGTTTCACCAAAACCACGTGGCTCGTTTTACATGACAACACACCGCATAAGTATTGATAAGATATGTTCATGGCTGTTTAAATTCTTTATAAAAAACCCTCAATGTTGGCATAAGTATTGCAAAGATAGGTTCTCTACAGATAAGCCTCGCTGTATTTTCATAGGCATCTCCAAAGACTTGCTAGAACTTCTGCTCTACAAATAACCCTCACTGCCTTCTTTACAGACATCAGAAAACTATTGTGAGAAATCGTTCTACATAGATAAGCTTCACACGAATATCAAAGTTAACCTAATGCACTTCATGCTCTATCTCTACAGCTTGGTGCACTATCTCGCCTCTGAACTATAATAATCTTTTACCATGACCTAAGACATGTGGCATATTTGAGAACCTGAGAATGCATAATCTTACCTAGCCCAAAACAACCCCCTGGTAAAGCCCTGATCTCGACACGTCTTTGATCTCTCTCCCTCTCTCTCTGTTCAATTTCCACCTAACCTAATCCAACAAAGATCTCTGCCACATTACATCTAATACATTCATCTCCTAATCATTAAAAAGAATCTATCAGGAATCATATGCACATAGTATATAATGAACTCACATATAAGAAGTGCATGGTTTCCAATACAAAGGGAGCTCTATGAGAATAAATTCCAGGTATTGAAGCAACCAAGTGTCCAGTAGCCCCTTTAAAATCATAATTAGTTAACTCTACGATCCAATGGGCCTGACTAGGTACATCAATCACAAGAGATGCCATAAATCCAGCCAGCTGAGCAGCAAAATCAGATTTCGAATCTTGATTTACTTCTCCAGCAGATGTTTGCGTAAAAAGAGAGAAATAATCAGGTGCAGTTGTGCGAGGAAAGTCTTGCCACCAAACAGTATTAGTCACATTATTCCACTGCAAAATTCAAAATAGCACAATGAGCAACATTAACAAATTCCATTTAAAATATGTTGAAACAGAACAACCTAGTGATTTATGATCCAAAATGCACAATCCAAGACCTTGTAAGCGTGTGGAACAATCTATTAGTGTTACAAAGCTTAGTACCATTCATTATTATTTTTTCTATCAAAGGAATAAATGTATCGATTTCAATCTAGGTGCATGTGTGGGACTACAGAAGTGAGACATATCTCCAATGCAATGTCTTCCTCTCTCCAAGAAGCACATGTTTGCAGTTACCACTTATCTGTCATGTTGAGTCATAAGATGGACTAGCATGTACATAATGAATGAGATGATCTCCTGAACCAGTCTTATATAAATACGCACAACAACCACAAGGTCCACAAGCTGCTATAATTGCATTTAAGTAGGTTGCCTTGAAGAACAGGGAGCATAATTCAGATGCATCACAAATTACAATATCCCAGAAACTATAAACATTTACATACCTCATAGAAATCAACACTAACATGCTAATTGAGATATTATAAAACTCTGTTTCATATTTCAAAATGTGAAGTTAATATATTGATTGAAATGAAAAAAGATTATTTAAAAAAAAAATTAACATAAGATATGAAGAACAGAAACCTTGCAAAAAGCAATCACCTGTTTAGCCACCAAATTTGCAGAAGTAAGAACAACACGAATAGTATCTTCTCTTTGCAAAACAAGCAATTTCGGATGATGGCAAGCAATGCCCAGTTTCTTGCGGTCTTTACCAAAAGCTATAATCTCAGGAAATGGGGGATACCTAATATCATAAATAGACTGTATTATGGAACGTTAGTTGTTCACATACTTAGGAAGCTTCAGCATTTTGCATTATCAATGCCATATACCTTTTCTTCTTTTGACTTATTAAGAAAGAATATTTAAGAATATGTTTCTATAACTTTTATTTTTTTAATAAAAAATACATTTGGAAATGTAACTTACACTACAACTAAGTTTGGAAAATCTGAGTAAGGCACCGACATTCTTTTATCAGGGCTTGAACTCCAACACCTCTCAGTGTTATGGCACGCAATTGTAACTGGCAGATGATGGGGCACCTCACAGTATGACAAAAACCTACCAAGATACCTTCCTTAGGAATGAAAACAGATATAAAGGAACTTGAAGTGTTGAATGTGCAAATAACACTAATGAGAAAGAAAAAGAAAATCAAATACCGTGCTTATTTCAATGGACAAAATGTTTATGAATGGAACGTTCATGTCTGAATACAGAAAAGTAAAAAAAAAAAATGGAACTAGCAAGTTCTTCTCGCAACTAAATCATGCGTACATATAAGCATAATCCATAAATACACAATTATACCTACCATGTGAAATCACGCCACATCACATGCTAAAGGATTGAAGAATAAGTAACAAATCATTAAATCCAACCAAAACTGACATAATATCAAGAAAATAAATGGTAACAATTTAAGTATCCATCCAGGAGTTTACCATAAAATATCACTGGTAAATGTTGCAATAAATATTCTAGTAAGGCTTTCAACAGGATAAAGAAGCTCTGGCAAGGTAATATCAGTATGATTGTCCGACCAAGCATGACCCATAAGGCGATTCAGATAGAACTTATTCCCAGGTGGCAGAATAAAACCACACCTTCTTTTGTCCTGCATAACCCCATCAGAATTAGGAGCATTCTCCTTATCTATAGAATCCGAAGACAAAGTCTTTGTTTTATCATTATCTACGCCATTCTCAAAAGGACTTCCGATGTCATTTTCTAGTCCCAACTGGTCACCACAAACACCATCATACACTGGGGCAGAATTTCCTAATGCAACCGCAACAGTCTCTCTATGACAAATAACTGAGCTCAATTGTCCAACAGCAGCCCTTTTACTTATCAAAATCTGCTCATTGACCCAGTCCTCACTGGGAAGCAGTTCTTTTCTTAAAGCTGATCCACCATAATTTAGCTCCAGCACACCACCCACAGGAAATCTAACCTTATCCATCATGATGCCCAAAAATTTGTTCTTGTTCTTGCAAGAATCTGCATTTCCCATTCTGTGATATGAATTAATAAATCTACGAATGTACGAAATGGGGTCATCAGTACGCAGAATCCCTCTACACCGACTTAAAAGCAAGTTTGCTCTGGCAACAAGTCCACTATGCTCTGATATATGCATTGCGTAATTTGGAGACAAATAATTAGCTCTAAATGTGGATACACTTCTACCAACAACCTCCTCCATGAGAACAATTCTTTCAATGACAAACCCAATTTGAATCCCCATACAACAAGCGCCTTCATTTCCACAAACAAGCGAAACCTCATCACCAGCACACAACTCTTTGACTTCGTCTCTTCCAACCTTGACCCCATTGACAAACACTCCGTTCAACGAAACCCTAACCCTAGAACACTCACTAGAACCAGAGAAAAACACTCCGTCCGCTATACAAAACCTGCGATGCTGTGCATCAAACAAAATCTGGCAATGCCGATTACTGACTCGACGGTCCTCAAAAACCAATTCACAACGCCGGCGATTACGGCCGATTGTGGAGGGTCTGTAAGGCTCAAGACGTATCGATTCGCAGCGAGAACTTGTGGTTGTTGAAATCAGAGGGACCTGAAGAGGTTTTATATGTATAAAACCTGTATTGACGATCGCGGCTCTGCGTTTCTTGCGAGGCAATACAGAAGAATTGGGTAAATGATTGAATCGATGTCGCTTGTTATTGCAAATAGAATCTGAATTGTTCATATTAATCCCATAATAATGGAATTGAATTAACAAATATATACATATATATGTGTATAATCAAATAACAATAACAATAGTAATGAATTTGAATGAATGAAAGTTTGAAGAATCAATGGAGAAAAAGAATGTTGACATGTGAAGAGGGGACTCTGAAGTCGTGAAGATCTTTTGCACAATTTATTTCAATTTCTTTTCCCTCTTCGTTTTCCTATTTTATGGTTGGGTCTTGGGCCTGCTGTGTGTTTGAACGTGTTTTCATCTGGGTTTTGTTGGGCGGCATGGGTTCACTTTGGGCTTAACTTGAGTCCCAAAAAAAAATCTCGTAGTACTTCGAAAATTGTGCAAATGACTAGTGCATTCAAATTTCACTCTTATAGTATAGTATGAAAAATGAGCAAATGAGGATTTTTGTTGGTTGGAAAGTTGGTATTCACAAGAAGTTGGTAGAAACAAAAACAGAGAGGCAAAGGTATCCTGATGCCGAGTATTATGCATATCATAGTCATGCATATATTGTTGCCGCATTGCAACTATGGAACAACCACAACCACAACCACAACCACAACCACATGTAAGACACACAAGGTGAGGTAGTAGACGTGATTCCTGCAGTCGAGTCTCAAAATGGAGAGCAAGCTCAACCTTAAATTCAACCTGAGCAATGTAAGAGGTATAAAAACTTAACGTATGTGAGGAGTGTGATTGTGGCAGAGTGCAGACAACTAGGAGTATCAATTCCTAGAACACGTCATCTTGAAATGCAACAGTCAAAAACTTCAACTATGGAATCCATCATTATTCAACAGAAACGTGAGATCTATCAATTATATGTTAGATGGCGTAAGATAAACAAACTGACAGAGGTGATGAAGATATATGAGGATCCGGATGAATTGTTTGAAAATATTTTCAGTGACACAGACCTAAAATTGGATTCGGATTCGGATTTGTCAAATTATTCGGACTCCGGAGATGATGACTTCGAAATTCTCCGCCAAGGTCTCGTTCCAAAAAGTAATTGGCAATTATGGTGTAGTTTTAATTTTTTTATTTTTTATGTATGTAGTGTTCAACATTTAATTGAGTCTCTGATATGCATTATTGACAATCTTATTCTATCTGATTATTTAAATTAATCAGTATGGAAGTACTTGATAATAAATACATCCCATATGTGAACATTTATGATGAATACTAATATCAATGAATACCATTTACATGCCTTTAACTGGATATATACTATGTCAACTACTTCCTAACAAAATATATAATGGATTGACTGATGTTAAGTGTATATGTAAGGCCAACTAATTTCCTTGCTTCAAGGTAGTTACATTGATTAATAGTAGTTCAAATTAATTATGATTCCAATCTCTGCAATTTCCTTGATTCTGAACTACAAGCTAAATTATTGTTATAGTATTTATATGTGACTTTCATTAAAGAAAAATAAGGAATTTATATGGTCTTATAAATACTTGTATACACATGGGATTTATAATAGAAAATTTATTTGACAAATATTTCCTTCAATTCGGGATGCAAAAATTCCAACCCTATTTGAAAGTAATTGCTTTGAAATGTGTTACTCATAAGTTGGGATGTTGTAAAGTAAAACATTTGATACATGTTATGTATAATTTGAGTTGTTACTCATAGGTAGAATATTGTTTCACTTATATATATACTGCATATATATATGTATATATATATATATACTGCCATTACGATTGTTGTAAACTTTGTTATCGTTGAAAACACATGTACGTCTAAATCCCTTATATATAGGTACAAATTTTATATCCTTTTACATACCAACTTCTATATTCCTTACTCTTTTACGTATATGTGTCTTCCATGGCTTCATCAACCAACAATGGTGCTCATCAAAGAACCATAAGTGCAAGTCTCTATTGCAACAAAATACATGACTAATCCCTTATTTTCGTCCATTATTTATACATATTTGTTAAGAAGATGGTTATACTCCCTCTGTCCCATAAAAGTTGGGATGTATTGGGATTCCAACTTTTATGAGTGTATAAATAATGAGTGAAGTTCCATTTTTGTCCTTATGAAAAAAAATAGTATTACAGTACTAACCATTGCAATTTTTATTGTGTAGAGATTTAGTAAAATTTTAAAATAGAATTAAATTGGTGCCAAATGACTTTCTTTCATTAATTTCAGCAAAACTCTATTGGCGGTAAATTTTGAAGCATCCTATCAATTCAAAGTTTAACTTTAAAACAAATTCTTTTCTCCACTATTACCTCAGCATTTTGGTACTCTTCCACAAACTGCTTTCTCCAACAAACTCCTTAGGTCTGTTTGGAAGGCTAAAATGATATTGGTTTTCGTGTTTTGGTTTTTGGTTTTGGGCCAATATCATGTTTAGAGTGGGCTAATCTGATATTGAATAGTTGCATAATAGATATAAAATTTGGGCCAAAACCCATACCACCAATTTGTTGATATTGGGTGATATGGCACTGTAGCGGTGATATCAGCCCAAAACAAAACCATATCAACCCTATTTTTTTACTATAGTGGTGATATTACGTATATAAGGTTGCATATCAGATTTCAGCCATTTTTCAGCCTCGTTTCTCTCTCTTCGCGCAGCTCCTTGGAGGCGATTTCAATGGCGATCCAACTGTAGGTGACTCCATACACACCACTGATCTGGCAGAGCTCCTCCACCAGCTACCTCCTTCCATTTTCGCCTCTCATTTATCTGTCTTCTCACAGGTCGGTTGAGGCGATTTCATTTGCGCCTCTTATCTCTTTCTATTCTCGCAGATCGAGGTTGGTAAATCGTTTTTGTTTACAAATCTTTCAAAAAGAAAGACCAATTTCATCTCGGCATCGGTTTTCCTATCGTTTATCTCTACTCTCTAAAACCCTAGCTCGATGGCAGCAGATTGAAGGTATTTCTCTTCTCTCTAAAACCCTAGGTCGATATTTTTGCCTTTATTATATATACATAATAAACCATCATGGGTTTTAAATGTAACTAATTTACTTTCAAGTTCATCTGGATTATGTGTTTTTATATGGCTAGCCCTGGTAAGCTTTTCATTTCTATCACATTACATGACTACTTTAAGTAGCAAAGCCTATACTTATATATATATATATATATATATATATATATATATATATATATTTGTGGAAAAACAGTGCTTGTTTTCCCAGAAATGAAATGGTTTTATTCTTAACTGACTTGATAAATCAATAAATTATAGAGAAAAATGAACAAGATTTACTCGTTGTCCAATATCATACTTAAATTAAAGATGGAACAAATTTCCTACCCTCTTTCTCCTGCTAAAGTTGATTGAAAATTAGAAAATTTGTGACATACTTTGACATAAGACTTTAAGATACAACAAATTTCTCACTCTCATTTTTTCTCCAGCTAAAGTTGATTTAAAATTAGAAATTTTGTGAGATATTTGTGTGGTGAAATCAAATAGGTTTGCTCTTAATTAAAGTAAAGAAATAAAATATAAAGAATGAGAACAAGATTTATTTGAGGATTGTTTTTCTCCTTACCTCAACTTGATTTTTATTTTTTTATCCCATTGTTAATAATTTTTCGATTGATGATTGATCTTTGTTAAAAATTAGTAAGCTCCTTTTGTTGGTTTCTTTTGACATCTAGGAACTTGTTTGTTTTTGGCTTGTTACTCGGTGTATGTACTCCTATGTGTTGTGGAGATGTAGTTGTGGAGATGCAGTGATTGGTTAACGCTTGATAATATCTTAATAAATCTCATCAATCTGATATTAAGTGTTTATAAGGATTCTTTGTGTTGCCAAATAAGTTCTCCTGTCGGATCTGGTATCATGTTATTAGCCATTAGGAATGAAGATGATATAACAATTTATCATGACTATATTGTAAATTAGACTATTCCTTCATATTATAATTCACTTATCATCACTTTCTTTTAGATAATACATATATATATACATAATATACATAAATATAAGTGACCCATGTTGTGGGACATATTAAACCATCATGGGTTTTTACTTTCCCAATCTGATCATGGGTTTAATCATATTGTACATGAGTAACAAATAATTTTGCAACCTCGTGAGGGATAGTATTAAGATAGAGCTCCCAATGTGGTTATTAATAATATGACTGAATTGTTTTTTAATTTTTAATTTACATTTTTTATTCTTATATAATGTAGTACCATTGAATTATCAGTTTAAAATTAGTATTATTTAACAGTTTACTAAATTGTTCAATTTACTTAATAATAATCAGATGGACATGAACAATGACAATGTTGAGCAATACCCATCAAGAGACATTCATTCTCTTGATGGTGAGAATGGTGAAGACGTTGTAGTTATTGAACAGGCCGATGCCGTTGTTTGGTGTGATGCCCATAAAGATAAATTCGTGCTCTTGATGAAGGAAGAGGTTGGAAAAGGAAATCATACAGGCACGACTTTTAATCCAATTGGGTGGACACATATTGTGCACGCAATGTTGGTGGAAACTGGAAAGAAGTACACGAAGGACCAATGTAGGCAAAAATTCAATACAATAAGAGCACTGTACAAAGATTGCAAACAAATATTATCTGAGACTGGTGTAGGGTACAACAGTGAAACTGGGATGATTGAGTTGGAAGCTGAAAGATGGGTTCGATTGTGCAAGGTTAGTATTTCAATACGTGTCTATTTACCATATATAAAGTTAGTAATTAGTGATTTAGTATTAAAAGGGTTTGATGAACAATAATTCTAAGCTAATAATGTGTAGGTTCTCAAAAAAAAAAAAAAAAAAAAAAAAAAAATTGTTCAATTTACTTAATAATAATCAGATGGACATGAACAATGACAATGTTGAGCAATACCCATCAAGAGACATTCATTCTCTTGATGGTGAGAATGGTGAAGACGTTGTAGTTATTGAACAGGCCGATGCCGTTGTTTGGTGTGATGCCCATAAAGATAAATTCATGCTCTTGATGAAGGAAGAGGTTGGAAAAGGAAATCATACAGGCACGACTTTTAATCCAATTGGGTGGACACATATTGTGCACGCAATGTTGGTGGAAACTGGAAAGAAGTACATGAATGACCAATGTAGGCAAAAATTCAACACAATAAGAGCACTGTACAAAGATTGCAAACAAATATTATCTGAGACTGGTGTAGGGTACAACAGTGAAACTGGGATGATTGAGTTGGAAGCTGAAAGATGGGTTCGATTGTGCAAGGTTAGTATTTCAATACGTGTCTATTTACCATATATAAAGTTAGTAATTAGTGATTTAGTATTAAAAGGGTTTGATGAACAATAATTCTAAGCTAATAATGTGTAGGTTCTCAAAAAAA